CCCATACCAACATTGACTGGAACCTACTACAGAGAAAAGATAACCACTGCAGCATTCTGCTCCCACTCCTAATCCCTGTAGCCAGTCCAGAAGAATACTGTGATCAGTGGCATTGAATGCCACCGAGAGATCAAGAAAAACAGACAGTTGCACCACCCCATTCCATCTCTTCCAGAGGTCATTGGCAAGTGTGATCAATGCTGTCTAAGAACTGTGCCGTGGCTGAAATCTGATTGAATAGTGTCTAGATAATCCATTTCCTCCAGGTCCTCTGAAGCCACAATCCAATTACCCTCTTAGTAACCTTCCCTAAGAAGCGGGGGTTGGAAACTAGATGGAAATTGTCCAGGACTGTTGGGTCCAGCAATGGCTTTTTGAGGAGAGAGCATACTGTATTCAGTCTTTGCACATAGTGGTTATATAAGTGAAAGGAGAATAATTCTTTTTAGTTGGTGTATTTGGTAACTAGATATCTTTGTCAGACTAAGACAAGCATCTTGGAAGTACAGCGGGAAGCAAATGTCAAGGAATAAAGTATCAACCCTGTACACTGGAATTGTTAAAATTGGTCTTGTAACTAGGTGGTTGTTTATTTACAAGGGTTACATTTATATACTTTAGCATGTGTTGAGGAATCTCAGAGCTTTCTGTGAAATGAGATTCTTTCCTGAGGTTAACATTTTTGCCCTAGTGACTTCCATCCTTCCTTCTGGTTTTAGATAAAAGTGTTGCGCCGAGTGAAGGATGAATATGACAGAAGAGGGGGGTTCATTCGTATATTCCCTACACCATTAACTTGGGACGTTTATGGGTAAGGAAAACTTAAGAAATTGATCCTGTTATCTTGGAAACTGTAGAAGACATTTAGGAAATAAATGATATGAACGCTGTTTTTTTCCTATGTTCATACTACCATTGATTTCCACATTTTAAACTGCATTTTCAGAGCATGTCTTCAGTATTCTAGTACAATAAAAGCTTACTGATTGTATCTTTGCATGACCAATATCCTCCATTATTAGATACTATGTCTTCCTTGTTTAGGTTTTCCTCCTCCCAGACTTTCAGACTGTAGTTTTTTTCCCTCTTGTTTTTCATAAGCTTTGAGATTTTCTTTTGCTCAAATATTTTTCTTTTTAATGATGAACTTTAACTCTCCTGCTCTTGATTTCTTAGGCCTTTTCTGGAACATAAGACAACAATGAACTATATGCTGGCTACTCGCCTTTTCCATGAAAGGTAGGAAGGCTGTTCTAGGGCAGAATGTACAGTGAGGCTCCCTTTGTGGGAGAGGCAGTACGGTGGCCGTAGCTCTTTGAAATACAAATGTGGCTCTGTAGGTTCATGCAATGAATGCATGTAGTCTCCATTGTATTTAAAATGTAGCATGAGACACAAAACAGTGCTCAGCAGGAGATGTTTAAAAATCATGTGTTCGTAAAATTATAAGCATCAGTGTTGCTGGATGTCCTTGACTGAGTGTATTAAGTATATGCAAATAGGCAGATATGGGCAGAAATGAAATTTAAAAAGTAAAAATCAATAGTTGATTATTCACAGTTCCTCATCTCCTTATGTGGCTATCAAAAATAACTTTAAAAAACTAAAACAAAACTAATTCCCTTGCCCCAAATTCCTTTCTTGCTCACCATCCCCAGAGAGCAGTGACAACACTTCTTTACAAATAGAGCCTTGGTCATGCTGAGTGAAGGGATATATCTGTTCCTCTTTATTTACTTCACTTCTTAGTAACTTCTTTTTTACATCACTGTAGGATGTGTGTCTATCCCAGTCTTTTTGTACATCAGTGCAGCCGGAGTTTGAAACCACTCTAGGCAATAAGAGTTACAACACTGTAATGTTCAAGCACGCTATATTTGGCAGCACATGGCAACTGCAGTTATCAAAAGAACAGCCATGGTAGCAGCCTGGGGAAAACTGGGATATTGAAGGAAAATAACATTGGGAGATAGGATGTGGATTGCACTGTGTACCTTGTGGGTCAGAAATTACATCAGTGAGATAAAACATGTAAATTGAGTCTAAGAAGCTGAAATACTAAAGAGAGTGCTAGAAAGTATTAGAGGTAAATAAAAGTGAACATAGAGAAGGAATGCTTATAAACATAGTACTGAAACTGTGTGACAGATAGGAAGATTTAACTAGTTGAAGACTGCTGTTTATAAGCTGAGTAACTCACAGAATAATTCATATGTAAATAAGAGGAGGACATTCCCAAGAACTTAAGAGTTGGCTTTCTGGAGCAGAACAAAGTATTTTAAATCCACAATTTTTCCCAACAGTTGGCTGTCCAAATGCCTCTACAACCTCACCACTGCACTTAATTGAATGTCTTCTACTGTTCTGTTAATTTATTTAGTTCAGTGGCATTTTATTTGGAGTCTTTATTAAGTGCCAGTATTTGGGTATTACCAAATATTCTGGCTACCATGCTGGTCACTTCTGACTTCACATCAATTTAGTGAGGTACCATTATTCTATCATAAGCTCTTATGGTATTCTACCAATGTTTAAATTGTTTTTGTTTTGTTTTTACAGACCTGCATTAGATCTGTCATTTTATCCAATAACTGCTAGGTTTTTGTTAATGGCCTTGAACACAATTTTTTAGTTTATGGTTGATCTAGTATTTTATGAATCCTCAATTTAACAGCCAATATGCGTAAAATTGTGAATGACATTTTATGCATGAGTGAAAGGACATTATGCATACATAAACTGGGGATTAGATTGTATCTGGAGACTGCTAAACTGAGGTCCTATAAATTGAAGTATTACTGTATTCTAGTGTTCTTCAATTACAACAATTTCTAGAATTCCTAGCCAGCATGACTATTGTCCATGGAACCTGGAAATTCTTAAGAGTCCATGCACCAGACTGGGAAAAGCTGATGTATGTAAATGTGCTTCTCCACATGAAAATTGGACAAAGATCAAATATAAAAGTATAAAACCATTTACATAATATACATTTGAGCTACTTCTAGATTTCCTAGGTTGTACCCAAGTATTCTGCATCTAGGAATATTTGTACATTAGAATACTTTCATCTGAGAACTCTTTTTGATGTGTGATTTTTCTTAGAAACTAGTTTGATATAATTTTTGAGCCATGTCTCCCATTGCTGATATGCTAGGATCAAAAGTTCAGTTTTTGTTTTATACCTTAATGATATAATGAACAATAATAATTATTATGTAATTCATAATTACGTAATTATATAATTGGCAGTCTGTTGTTAGAAAGACTACAACATTTCCTTTCCTTTTTTTTGGTATTAGGATTTTGAAGAAGGAAGCTGTCTTAACCAAAGTGGTTAGTTGGTACATTCAGTCCAGTGTTATCTACTCTAAGTGATGGCAGCTTTCCAAAATCTCATGCAGAAATTTTTCCAACTCTCGCTGCCTGAGATCCTTTTAATTAGAGGTGCCAGGGATTGAATCCAACCATGTGTAATATATGCTGTTCTACGGAGCTGTGTGTTTACCAGTTGATTGCACATGATAGGCTATTTGTTCCTCGAGAACACTGTGTCCTACAGTTGCTGCTTGCGGATCTTTTTTTGGAATGCATTTTAGGATGATTACCCACCAATAGTGCTTCAGCTGATCCCAACAAGAAATCCTTCCCACTTGCTGCTAGGTTTAATATTAATTTCTAATGAGGAAAAAAGTATTCCTAAAGGGGCAAATGACCGAGTGGCAAGATTGATTGATCGATTGATTTATAGAAAATTATAGAAATGAGGGTGGAAATAAGACATTTCAAAAAACATATTTGCAGTAAACATTTTCAAAATGCTTGCGTTTCAGACACCTTAACAGGCTGGTGTTGTTTCAGGGCACCATGTGCAAGCAATTCATAGTATAGAATTGTTTTGTGAATCTAAGGTAAAACCCATGCCAGTGGATCATGTCCTCTAAAATGGTTAACCTTATGGAATTATTGTGCAACTTTTCTGTCATATTCTCCCCCACCCCACTTCATCCCCAGCAGTAGTGAGCCAGGAACCAAGCAGTACTCTGATACCATTAAATGCCCGTTTGCTGCAGTATTTTATTACCCATAACACTTCTGCCAGGTAAATCTTGAGATTTGGCTCTCAAGATAGTTGCTGGAGTGTATGAATCTGGCTGTCGCACCTGTATACTGACTGCTGAGGCATGCTCACATTGAAATTATTCAGCAAATTAATGGAGGACAGATCTATCAATGATTATTCATTTTGACAGTGAAGATGCAATGGATATGTTTATGAATCCTGGAGATGAAGAAAGGGTAAGGATGTAAGAGCAGCTGTGCTGGGACAAGGCTCATCTTAGTCCAGCATTTTGTTTCTTACAGTGGTCTGTCAAATACCTCTGGGTACTCAAAAGCAGGAGATGAAGAAATACCTCTCTCTTGCCATTATTTCCCTGTAACAGTTATCTGGAAGCATGCCATCCCAAGCCTGGAGCTGAGATTGAGTCTTCAAGACCCATAACCCTTGATAGACCTATGCATCATCATGAATCTACTATGAGCTTTTGATTTCTGCATTTGCTGTTTTTGAAAGCACAACATGGACATTATTCTGATCTAGCAAGAGAGTGCTAATTGTCTGCAATTTGAGCTTAAGCTGCCATTTTTATTAAACAGTCTAGTTTTTTTAACAGTATTTTTATAAATTTATTGTGCTTTGAGATAAATCTGTCATGTAACTAACATAATCACTTTTTTTTCTCTATAGAGGAGGTTCAAGGAAAGGGCCAGTTCCTAGGCGAGCTCGGTAAGACTTGAAATGAGGCTTCTGATGTTATGCAAGGGATTTCATTATTTTGTAAATGGGGCTTCCTGAATAGTTTATTTCTGTCAAGAAAAGTACATGAGCTGTACATGAGACCATAGCCACTTGTAGTTTTCTCCAAGTGTTCGAGATGATCTATAGAACCTTCCCAAAAGTTGCTGTCAAGTTGCAATTTTAAATGTGGTAGGGGAAAATGATTAAATACATGAGGTCTTAATTATATAATTTTTGTTTTCATCTTGCCCATTTTTTTTGGAATAAAGCACTTAGCAAGCTACTGAAAAGTTTGGTTTAGTGTCAGCATTAAAAATGCTGTGCTCCAGTTGTAAATTAAGTTTTATAGGCAGTTCAGACTTGTATTTTAGGAACCTTTGAGTTGGTGGTTTGCATTTGGATGAAGTGAGTAAGATGTCCATTTCTAAAATTGATATTACTCCTTCCTTGAGTTAAACATTTGATGTATGGATTTCCTTGTAACTGATACTTTTGAGAGTGGTCCACAAACCTGCCACCCTCTTTGTTTTATCACTTTTTATGGAGGAACAGGGTAGAACCCGGTCCCATAAGATTTGATGATGGTGGCAGAATGCCACCATAACGTTTGGTTTAAAAAAGGTGTTGATTCACTTTTCAAACCCTAATACATTTTGTTTCACTTTTCTGGAAAGCTGAGGTCCCACTCTTGAGAAAAATTAGGTATAGGTAAGTAACTGTTGAAACTCTGATTTGGGGGCTTTAGAAGTGACTGTACTGAGTCCATTTTTTTTTCTGGTATAGGCAAAATGGGAAGATCATTTAGGTGTCTCTGGACATTGGAAGGAAGGTCATGGAGGATTTTCTCTGTTCCTGTTTTTTGCAGTTTAGCTCTTGCTGCAGAACTAGGTCTGGACATTATGGATTGCAATGCTCAGCTTCATGCTGCTTTGTATGAGCGGAAACTCTTATCACTAGAGGTTCGAAAACAAAGGCGACGTTTTGGTAAACTGAGACCAGGAAGATTGTCAAGATTGTCAGGTACGTACATATCCGGCTTATTTTCCTATATTATAATGTGGATACACAGGTTTAATGGAAGAAAACTATATCTTGTATGTGTAGATGTTGTATTTGGAATCTTAAAAAAAAGTCTGCATGTTTAGATTTCTTGTTTGGCTTATGTGTTGCTATTGTATAATCCATAATTACCCCTGTAGAGATGTTGTAAGTACAGCGTTCTACTTACGAACGCCCCTACTTATGAAATTTTTGAGATATGACCAGCTCCGGCCCCAAAAATTTACCTCGATGTGCGAACTCCGCCTCGAGGTATGACCATTTTTCCGCCCTGACACGTGGTCGGCAGCCATTTTTCCGTCCTGACACGTGGTCCGCGGCCATTTTTCCGCCCCTGACGTGGTCCATGGGCGTTTTTCCACCCCACCGCGCAGTGCGCGGGCGTTTTGCCGCCCCGCTGCGTGCTGCGCGGGCACTTTTCCATCCCTGACGCCGGCGCGCAGGCATTTTGCCGCCCCGCCGTGCGGCGCGTGGGCGCTTTTCCGCCCCTGATGTGTGGTCCGCAGACGCCAGAATGGATTAATGGTAATTACATTGAACCTTATGGGAAAATTTGCTTCGGGGTGCGACCAAATTC